TTATAAATTGAAATACTTTCATTTTTGTCCAAAATGGTCATTGTTCAATCTCTATAAAGTATGGGAAATGAAGTGTCTCCCCAGATAAGTAGATGTGAAACAAAACACCTTTGACTGCATTTTGATTATTTTCTGGTACTAGATGAATTCCTCAGGACATCAGAATGGTTAATGACTAAAAGCCTCTAGGTTAAGGGATATCAGCTTTCGACCCGTGAAGCAACAATATGTGTTGTCATTAATGAGCCATACACTTTCTAAATTGCTTCTGAAAGATTTTAACACTCAGTTAAGAAGCCACCATAATTCCTCACTGAAAAAGACCACACCCACGTTTCATACAGAGTTTTCAGGGTTGTGGGCTATAGAGGAATAAAACATCCAGATTTCTTTGAATCATACCTGAATCAAGGTGGGATACCAGGGAAAACTGCATCTTAACGTTTTGACTTTTAGGCAGACCTGACATTTGTTAGCTGGTAACAGAGCTCTCAAGGTGCTACTCAAGGGCGGGAAGGTATTTTACAGACAAGCAATGTAATCCCATGTTTATTTTTAAACAATATGGAGAGATTAGTGGATTATAACAACATAGCAGGACAAATTGCAATCAAAAATGTGCCAGTTGTGACAAAGTTGGTACAACTCACAGGTACACTGAAATTAGTATATATTATCTCACGAATTCATTCATCTGCTGCATCATACAGAATAATTTCAGGATTGCTTAGAAGGCTTACTTCAAATATACTTTGAAAATTTGTTTAATTCGTTATATGTCAGATTTTAACACCCCTGTCTGTCTTTGTTAGTCTGTTCACAGTTTTCCAGAGGAGTTTATGCCATCTTTGGATTCTATGACCAGATGTCAATGAACACACTGACATCATTTTGTGGAGCCCTTCACACATCCTTCGTCACACCCAGCTTCCCAACAGATGCAGATGTGCAGTTTGTCATCCAGATGCGGCCAGCATTAAAAGGAGCCATCTTGAGTCTCTTGACTCATTATAAGTGGGAAAAATTTGTGTACCTCTATGACACAGAACGGGGTAAGCACCGGCATTTTAAGTGATTTTTCTGTTTCATAACTTGCTATAAGTATTGCCAGAATCAGTATGTGCAGCCCATCCCAATTTTCTTCTGGAGGCACATAGCACATTCTGATGGTCTTAGAAAACAAGTTTATTCTGAAGAAACTAAAATTAATGGATAAATGAAAAGAAGGCATCTTCATATTACTGATCATTTGTAAAGAGATTGTCTGGAGGATAGTGTTAGCAGTGTAAGCATTCAATTTGGAATACCTGGTTTCCATGGAACCGCAGACTCAACACTTGCCAGGGTTTTTGAGTCCTTGCAAAATAAATAAAGCCGGCACTATGAAGTAGGCTGTTAAGCAAGACCTTCCACTGTGTGTGACATTGCAAATCCCACACCACTTTACATAAGTGCGCATTTCTCCTGTCACTGGACAAAGACAGTCCATGCTAAGATACACTCTGGAGATGTTTAGGCATCAATAACGGTCTAAGAATATAATTCATAAGATGCTTTAGGGCTCTGCTGGAGAAAAGATGCTGTAGATACGTCACATGGATATCCAGAGGTGAATTTAGATACATGACGAGAAGGACCAGAGATATGTTTTACTAAATGAAAGCATATTAAAACCAGTGTTTCCACGCTTAAGCCAATTGCTAACTACTAAGAAGCACCAAAGGTAGCAAATCCTGTCAAAAAGAGGTCTAAGCATCAGAAACCATTTTCTGTGAGGAATCTTGCATATTTCTGAGGAGCAGCTGTTGCCACCTGCTCTGAGTGTACAGAATTTGCTTGGTTACAGATTTCCCCTGGGTAGCATTTTTTGCGTCAGATAGATGTGCCACTGCCCTTCTCACCAGCTTTATGATTAACAACTCCAAGACCTTCTTCAGATCAACGGGGTCTGGATAGAGCCAAAGAAGCTTAGATTCCATTCCCAGCTCCCATGGCAAAGTTCTGATACCCTAGGCTACTGCATATTGATAAAGATCAAGTCTTCAGTGGCTCTGCTTTTCACACTGAAGATTAATAGCATCACCCAACTAAGGACGTACCGCATGTTGAAAGGAAGTAATTTTTAGTCTGACTTTAGGTAAATACCAAGAATTCAGAATTTGCTGAGTGATTTGGAGGTGTTAAATATTTCTAGCAGTGAAAAACGCTAACTATGAGATCAAGTAGGAAAGTATGGAGAAGTTAAGAATGCCATCAGTTTTTAAATCTTTTAAAACCACTACCTAAACATCCATATTTCTGGTTTAGTCCACTTTTAAATGAAAGCTCCCGTGAATATGCCATCTGTCTGAGTAAGAAAGGTTTGATGTGACCAAATGCGATAAACTTACACCATGTGGTAAAGTAAAATGTCATATGTTCCAGGGCTGATGAAACTTACCATGATTGAGGCTAATAAAGTTTGCTTTGGAAAGAGATGCATCAGTCATCCAAGATCATGCCTAATAAGGAATTTGGCACTTCAGACTGGAAAAATCGCCCAAAACAGTGGGATTTTCACTAGAACTTGTCTAGATGATGTGACTTTCAGACTAAGTGAGGTAGTAACGGAAGTCATGAGGGAAGACTTGTGGGCTCAGACTTGAGTTTTTCTAGAGTTCTCATTGTGTACAATCTTTAGGTAGACACGGTCTAATGATGAGCTTATTATGATGACTAATCCCTTTGGAACAGTTTAGGTTGTGTCTAGGCTCCATTTCGCCTTAGTTCGTACTAAGATTTTAATCACAGATTAAAACACGGCTCTTGCTGGTGAAATTAGCCCCAGGAATCTGACTTTACCTCTCTTGCCTTCTGTCCCTTGTCTTGACTTCCCAGTCACATCCTACTCACAGTCTTACAATTACTAATCAAACGTTGTGAACCTACTGTGGCTCACATGCATGTTATGCTAGCCGTATGTTGTGTCGGACATTCGGAACTAGATGTCAGAGTGTGAAATCTGAATTAGATGACAGCGCAGGTGACTGTAGGATTACAAAATGTAGCTCAGGGTTAGAAGATAAAGGACAGCTGTGTCTTTAGGGTGGAAGAGACATCAGTGCATATAGGTAGCTCGATGATGGGCTTTAAGTTGTTTGGGATAAACTTACCACATCTTATCTCTCCTTCCTATATATACATCCTCGTTGCTGTTGTTTGATAACATATTTGCCACCTGCTAAAACAGGAACAAAAATGAACAGTTGATTATCTTCAGTTACTGCTGGTTTAGTTAGGTTAAAACAAACTTGATAGCACTTGTATTGGAGTCATAATTGCTGTATTCTTCCAGCATTAAAATAAATTAAGAAGACTCACATAGGAGGGAGAGGCAGGGCAATTAGGTACTGAGAAATAGACATTAGAGTCCTTTGTTTGATGAGCGGTAATCGTGGATGACAGCACCTGAAACGTTTGGCAATTCCAGTAGGCTGCCTAATTTCTTGTGATAGGCCTTCAAATACAACAAAATATCCCAAGAGGTTGAACAATAATAATGGTGAATGACTCCTTGTGTTGGGTGGTAAATAGGCTGTACGTGTTCCTATGCTGAGATGCTATTGGAAATGAAAACACTAGAGCTGTCACAATTTTTAATAATTCCTATCTTAGATACTTAACTGCTTTGGGGCACAAACACTGTAGAGAGAAGGTGTTAAGCAGTTTACTGTCAGTTCCTGAAATAAACTATCATTTAAATACTGCCTTTCTTAGAAGATTATTATCTCACTAGTGTGTTCTAAGAATCTAAGAAATCACAAAACATTAGATTCTCTCTTATGTTGAATATTAGTTATGGACTAAATTGTTCTTGCAAGTAGTTTTACAGTGTTCTGCTGAAGCAAAACACTGCCATGTATTAAACATTGCATTTACTATTAATAAATACCGCAGCACATTACAGATGCCATACAAAACTGAATAAACCTTCTTATGGTTTTATATTGCTTATTGAACTATTTCAGTTTAAGCTTAGGAGAATGGAGACTCAGCTTTATAAAGTTGTTTTCCTTAAGCAGTGGCTTTTTTCTTTGCCATCAAATCATATAATCATATGGTTTCCCCCTCAGTGACATTAGGCACAATACTGTGATGTTTGGCTCCTGCAATGAAGACAAAAGATAAATCTCAAACGATAGAATAAAGTTAAGATCTACAATTACATAGATAGGTAGTGAAGCTTTTAATCCAGTGAGTTAGCATGTACGTTGTGTATGTTTGTATTTGTAAGTACATTATTTTCTGTTGCTATGAGATGACTGAATGTTGCAGATTGTGCTCTCAAATGTATATTTATGTGCAGGTGCAAAATTCAGTTTCTTAAAAACTGCTTAAAGCACACAGAAAGAAAACTAAGATGTGAGATTTATGAATTCCAGCAGCAAGAATTATGTCTTATCATTGCTTATTTCAGTTGCTGGACTTATTCTTCTGTGAAGAAACTGAAATTTAAGAGAAATATCAAATTGCATGTTCTTCTCCTAGTACCAGCAGAAAAAATAAATTATAGTTTGCAGAGAGTAATGATGCATTAGGAAATGGCTGCTAAGGGAAGAAAGGACATTAAGCAGTGTATAGAAGAAATAGTCATATGTTCATTCCATGCTACATGCTTTTAGTTCATGTGAAAGGGAAGGGCAGGGTTGATTCCTGTTTGTATTAACTCACATCAGTAAGTTGACACTGTTGGTTGCTGTGATGCGTGCAAAATATCTGATTAATTATATGGTGCTAACTGCCTCAGTAGGCTTCTCTGCAGTAGAACTAAGACTAATTAAGATTATGTCAGGATGAAATGAGATGGGGTTACATACAGAAAGCTATTAAGAATTGGGGTAGCGCTTGTCAGGAAAGTCACCTTTTGCATCTCATGCTGAGGATTATGTTTCGTCAAAAACCTCAGGTTTATTGCCAGTCTTCAGGTCTGTTTTTCCTCTTGCTTTACTTTACTGTAAATCAGATGTTACTCCACTGAAGTCAGTGGACCAGAGTAACACTAGTATGAATGTGTGGAGAGGTAAGCTTGTGGTTTTCATAGTCATCTTAGTGTTATGTGAAAGTGTGAAGCACTTCTCATTTAATTATAAAAATGGTATGGTGGATTGTAATACTGAAGCTTTTGTTTATTTAAATTTCCCTAATGTTTCTTAAGTAATGTTTCAGTTTATTTTTGCCTGAGAAACACTGTTTTGTACAGATTGTTCAGTTTCCATCTGTCAGTACAAAACAGGCATTCTGTCCTAAGTTACTTTGATTTGTCATACCTACTGTGCACAAAGACATTGATTTCTGTCATGCAGATCATTTGAACAAAATCACACCAAATCATTTCTGTGATGTGCATCAAGTCTTCTTCCTCTTCCTTCAAATCATAGGAGTCATCACAGGACAGGAAAGTGACTGACTTCGTTTGTGTAATGCCTACCTACACAATGGGAGCTCAGTCTAGATAGAGGTACAGATAGATCACAGTCTTTATGGCACTGTAACCAAATACCTCTCTAAATCTGAAATTCTTCTGTCATTTGGTTTTGATTTAGTCTGTCAGTAGGTACCTAGCGATACCTAAAATTAAAAAAAAAAAAAAGCTTTGGTAAATAGGGTTATCGTTAGCTAATAATTTTTTTTTTAATTGGTTAACCCTGGCTAGATGAAGGCTGAGGCACGGAAGTGTTCATCTAAAGCCTCAGGCCCAGGTTATGTGTCTAAGAAGCGTTGAAAATATCTGCTTTAAAAGCAATTACATCTTTAATCCTTACTCCCACAGAAACACAAAAATTTGACCTGAACATAACGGATGGGTAAGGATGCAGAAGGCCTGACAATATAGCTTCAGAAAATATAACCTATCCTATTCCTCTTAAATATAAAACCTTCTTGTACCCTGTTGCATAAAGAAGTGCTAGGTAAAGAGCCAAAAAAAAAAAAAAAGGTACAAACTGTAAGCTTCTCGATGATTATGCGTAAGGCATCAAATTGCCTTAAATTGGGTTCAGTACAAGGCAATGAG